TCTTCCTACTCAAGAAAACCAAAGTCACTGCCATTGAGTGACCTCTGACTCATAGCAACCCCTAAGTAAGTTTCCAAGACTACAAATCTTTCTGGAAGCAAACTGCCTTATCTTTCATCCATGGAGGGGCTGGTGGGTTTGAACCACTGACTTTTTGGTTAACAGCCAAACGCCCTAACCCCTGCACCACGAGAGCTCCTTAGCCTTCCTACTAGAAGTATATATTTCTCACATATCTATCTATCTATCAATACATAAACTGTAAACACACACACAGTCTATCCAGATACAAGATAAATTTGTACATGCCTGTATCACAACCCTGCTTCAAGATACGTGATCCAACGCAACCTTTCCTTCAGGTCAGTATCCTGCCCCCCTTGATTCACAGAATGATTACAAGTTTTCATTAATTTGCCATTAAATATCCTGAGTTTCTTTGGCAGAGAAACAGGAAGGAAGGGGGAAGAGAAAAAAAAAAAGGAAAAGGAAACTAATTTGCAGGGCAGGACACATTTTGTGTCAGGCAGAGGGCTAGTCAACTTTCAGGTCTTTCTTCCATTAATAATTAAAACAACCATGAGGAATAAGTATGATAAATTTCATGTTAGAAAGAGAAAAACACCGGCTGAAGGAAGTTGAATTACTAGTTGAGTTTATGATTTAGCAAGGGGTAGAAACTAACAATCAATACTATTTGACTCCAAAATGTACTTTATTCCTACTTCACCCCTGTATGGGAATGTCCTATGTCTAGGGCAGATGATTAGTGACTAACTTCAGAGTGAAATAGTATTTATCTAAGGCAAATACAGTGTCTGAGAGTGCACTTGACTGCTAACCTGAAGGCTGGCAGTTCAAACCCACCAGCCACTCCTCAGAAGGAAGGTTGGGCAATCACTTCTGTAGTGATACTGCCTCGGAAACACAAGGAAGGGTCACTATGAGTCGGGTCTGACTTGACGGTCCATAACAACAACCACCTTACATTATTGCAGAAAGGAAATACTGAACAGTCCTAAAAGATAATAAAATAGTTAAAAGTGTTCTATGAAATTTTACTTTAAAAAAGCAAATTCAAATTGGTCTATTAATGTCATTACATACACCATAAAGCACTGAAAAGTGTGGGTAAATAGTCAGAATGACAACACATGAGATCAGTGTTAAAATGATCACTTCTATCAATAATCACAAAGACAGCAGCAATATCTTCAGATAACATAAAGCTAAAAGGCTTTAAAATAGGATGAAAGAGACTAATCATAATTGCTGCTAAATGGTGAAAACATAAAAGTTTTACTTTATCCAACTCATTATAAAAGGACGGAAATGGTTGGGGTAAAACAATGTTGACAAATGAAAGTCAATCAGGTTGTAGTGTCCTAGGTATTATGATTCTAATTATCACTTCAAATTGTTATAACCCTCAGAGAACAACTCATTTCAAATATTTTGAAATGCCTGTGAAGTTTAGCCACATGTATCACCTTTATAAGGGGATAAAACTGAAATTTTAAGGCTATTTCTTGGGAAATAAAAACTATTAAAAATTAAATGTAACATTTAAGTTATAGTTTTTAAATGCCCTTCTATTTAGAAGTAAATGAAAGAGTATGTGCAATTTTGTAAAGGTGTATTTATTAATCTATGGACATTTACTTATTATTGGAGACTAGTTTTGCCAGGTATTTTTTTCTATGAAAATGAACATACAGTACTGACTTATTCAAAGACAGCAGATACCTCTTCCCTCATTTTTTGTCGTCCTGCATTTATAATCTTAAAAAACAACCTATACTGGATTTAACTGCAACTGAGATTCTGCTCCTCAGACCTAGCTCTCCCCAGGTCAAGGACATCAGTAATACCTCTGTCAAGGACAGAGGCAGAATGCTAAGGGAAAGAGGAAGAAAAATTCATTCCTGCTATCAAAGTGAGACTCAGATAACATATCCTATAATAAGCCCCACTCATCTCAGTGCTTTTCTTGGGAAACAGCCACACAAAAGGCATAGAAACTAATAAAATACAAGACCAATAGTAATCACATACGTAAGTGTTTTGCCATATCTCAAAAAACTGTAATATTAAAATGCCAATGAAAAGGATTTAATGTTTTGCGTTTGTTCAAATGGAATTTAAGTACCTTACCATGGTGGCGTAATGCCTAACGCATTTGACTGCTAACCAGAAGACTGGCAATTCAAACCCACCAGCCACTCCTCAGAATGAAGGTTGTGCGCTCTACTTCCGTAGTGGTACCACCTCGGAAACCCAAGGAGGGGTCACTCTGAGTCCGATCTGACTCGAAGGCAGTGAGTTTGGTTTTGGTTTTGGACTGTGCCTCAAAATCAGGAAGGGTATACGTCAGGGTTGTACCCTTCCATCATACTTATTCAATCTGCATGCTGAGCAAACAAGCCAAGAAGCTAGACAACCTGCGATATGCAGATGACACAACCTTGCTAGTGCTGAAAGGGAAAACGACTGGAAGCACTTACTGATGAAGGTCAGAGACTATAGTCTTCACTAAGGATTACAGCTCAACGTAAAATGAAAATTCTCACAACTGGACGAGTAAGCAACATCACAATAAAGAGAGAAAAGACTGTAGCTGTCAAAGATTTCCTTTTACTTGGATTCACAATTAATGCCCATGGAACCAGCAGTCAAGAAATCAGATGTCCTACTGCACTGGGCAAATTTGCTGCAAAAGACTTCTTTATAGTGTTAAAGAGCAAAGATGTCACTTTGAAGATTAAGGTGCCCTGACCCAAGCCATGATATTTTCAATTGCCTCATAGGCATGTGAAAGCAGGACAATGAATAAGGAAGACAGAAGAAGAGTTGATACCTTTGAATTGTGGTGCTGGTGAAGAATACTGAAAATACCATGGATTGCCAGAACTAACAAATCTGTCCTGAATGAAGTGCAGCCAGAATGCTCCTTGGAAGTCAGAAGGGCCC